GATGTGTGGTCTTATTTCTGAGGTCTCTGTTTTGTTCATTGGTCTATATGTCTGTTTTGGTACCAGTACCATGCTGTTTTGGTTACTGTAGCCTTGTAGTAGTATAGTTTGAAGTCAGATAGCATGATGTCTCCAGCTTTGTTCTTTTTGCTTAGGACTGTCTTAGCTATATGGGCCCTTTTTTTGGTTCCATATGAAATTTAAAGTAGTTTTTTTGAATTCTGTGAAGAATGTCAATGGTAGTTTAATAAGAATAGCATTGAGTATCTAAATTACTTTGGGCAGTATGGCCATTTTCAAGATATTGATTCTTCTTATCCACAAGGCTGGAATGTTTTTCCATTTGTGTCCTCTCTTATTTCCTTGAGCAGTGGTTTGTAGTTCTCCTTGGAGAGGTCCTTCACGTCCCTTGTTATCAGTATTCCCTAGGTATTTTATTCTCTTTGTAGCAATTGTGAATGGGAGTTCATTGATGATTTGGCTCTCTGCTTGTCTACTATTACTGTATAGGAATGCTTTTGATTTTTGCACATTGCTTTTGTATCCTGAGACTTTGCTGAAGTTGCTTATCAGCTTAAGGAGTTTTTGGGATGAGACAGTGGGGTTTTCTAAATATAGAACTATGTCATCTGCAAAAAGAGGCAATTTGACTTCCTCTCTTCCTACCTGAATGCGCTTTATTTCTTTCTCTTGTCTGATTGTCCTGGGCAGAACTTCCAAAACTATGTTGAATAGGAGTAGTGAGAGAGGGTTTTTTCCCAATAAATCCCATTATTCTCACCCTTAAAATCATCTGCGAGCCTAATTTTCCATGGCCATGTGATAAGGACCTGGCTCTTACCTGAACTAAGGAAAAAGTTCCACAACACTGGACTGTGACATTACCCCATCTAAATGACATGCATTTAAGACTACTAACTCAGAGGCAATAGAAAAAGACTCAATACTGCATTCTATATTGTGCAAAAATTTGCCCTGGTGTTTGCAGCTCTACGTCTCATGTTCAATTAAATCTATGATTGATATACATTTTTAGCCAACCAAGAAGGTAACACCAAATGTGTCTTATTAGTGTGTGCTGACTTAATACCATGAATACTCCAATACAATTAATATTTTGGCATCAAATTTAGAAATAACCTGTGCATGTGTATTTGGCATTTTAGAAGGTAATTGGACATATCAGCTGTCCATGTTAAATAACAAGGTTCAGAAAATATGATTAATTGTAGAGTTTATTCAAGCACAAAGCTTGTGGGATAGCCACCCTGGAAGTACAGATTTCATGGAAGTATGTGTTCGGAAGCGTAGATGTCTGGGGTTGTTTATATAGACAAGGGAAGTTTAACGGAATTTCAACATCTTTCTATGTAAGGCTTAATGCATAGTTACAATGATCTCATTGGTTGAGATGGTATTTTTCTTTCAGGAAAAGTATATTTAACGTTCCATACTGAAGATGTAATAGTCATGGGGTCTTTTGCGCCATCTGGTCTGAGTTAACAAAACTCAGAACAAAAAAAGAAGGAGGTTAATCTGTAACAAAGGTCAGTGATTAGGACACTAGGTCTGGTCTCTTGTCTTTCCTAGTCATTTACAGAACAAGAACAATGAGAAACAGAGTTAATATATAATCTGAGAAACAGAAGTTGCAACTACATGCTGCCCAACTCAGATCATAGTCCTATCTCTTTCAAGACTTAAAGCGTTTTGAGTTCCAACAACTTTTGTGCTTTATTTCCATATAGCCTTGGGATTATAGTTTAAAATGTGTAACGGAGGCCAGGCAGGGTGGCTCATGCCTGTAATCCTAGCACTTTGGGAGGCTGAGGTGGGAGGAATCCTTAAGCCCAGGAGTTCAAGACCAGCTTGGGAAACATAGTGAAACCAGGAGTTTTGAGACCTGCCTATCTCTACGTTTTTTTAACTGTAATTGAGTAACTTCTGCTTATTATATTTAATGTAATTTAAGATTCACATTCCACACATGTAAAAATTTAACACATTAGATTTATAAATTATAGAAGTGCCTGGGAAAGCTTGTTTTTATTAGACAATTGAAATAATTAAAAAAGAAATTATAGTATATTGACTTTATGATGATAGTTAAGATTATTACAAAATTAATTGCATAAAAAATCCTTAAGTAATTGTTAAATTTTTGCATTTATAAATAGCATAAGATTTGCAAATTTATGTCTAAGAAAGAACAAATTTTTTGAATTTTTAACCTTGCTAAAATAAATACTGAATTGTAAAATAAAAATGACCCCTGAAATAATCTTTTTTTGCATAAAAGTTACCTTCAAGGGCACCAAAAGCTTACAATTGACTTTTTTTTGAAGATATTATCTTATCTTCCTATAGAACTTCATGTCAGTTTATCTAACATGTTGTCAGAAACATGAAGATTAAGATCCTGTTATTTTATTCCTTTATCTGGAAGCCTGACCTTTAGTTTCCATCAAAAATTTCAATTTCTGGCTGGGTGCAGTGGCTCATACCTGTGATTGCAGCACTTTGGGAGGCCGAGGTGGGCAGATCACTTGAGATCAGGAGTTTGAGACCAGCCTGGCCAACATGGTGATACCCCGTCTCTACTAAAACATACAGAAATTAGCCGGGTGTGGTGGAGCACGCTTGTAGTTCTAGCTACTGGGGAGGCTGAGGCAGGAGAATTGCTTGAACCCAGAAAGCAGAGATTGTAGTGAGCTTAGATCGTGCCACTGCACTCTAACCTGGGTGACAGAGTGAGACTCGGTCTCAAAGAAAAATAATTTCAATTTCTGGGAGCTTCCAGATAGCTGCACACCTAGAGGTTTTTGGAGGGTGGTGCACTTGGGGATGGCATGGAAGCTTGCAACCTCTTCTCTTCTACTCTGCTCTGTGCACTTCTTCATCTGTTTCTGTGTCAATATCCTTTATAATAAACTTGCAAATGTAGATAAATATTTCCTTGAGTTCTGTGAGCCACTCTAGAAAATTAATGGAACCCCAGGAGGGGAGCATGGGAATCCCAATTTATAGCCAGTGAGTGAGAAGCACAGGCCACTATCTGTGCTTGCAACTGGCATTGGAAGCAGGACCCATTAATGACCATTAGAAAGAGCTAATGGTTCCAGGTTTAGAAGGTGACTAGAATTGACAGCACACATGCCTGTGGGCTCCCTTGAGGTGGACATCTGAGTTCATGAAATGAGTAGATATGTTTTATAATAATAATAATGATAATAAAAACAGAACAGAAGATATTGCATGGATTTGGATAACTAAAAATCATTCCTTCAGGCCAAAGAACATACTGTACATAATGCCCAAGAATGGGTAGAGATACCCTCCTCAGAGTAGTGGTTTGATAGAGAAGTGAAATAGGCAATTAACGCATTGGTTGTCAACACATACCTGATCCTATTGGAGGGTGGAGGGTGGGAAGAGGAAGAGGATCAAGCAAAATAACTAATGGACACTAGGCTTAATACCTGGGTTTTGAAATAATCTATACAACAAACCCCTATGACACAAGTTTACCTATATAACAAACCTGCACATGTACCCCTGAGCTTAAAAGTTAAATTAAAAAAAAAAAAAAAAGAGTCTGGACACCATGGCTCACCCCTGTAATCTCAGCATTTGAGGAGGCTGAGATGGGCAGATTGCTTGAGCCCAGGAGTCTAAGACCAGCCTGGACAACATGGCAAAACCTCATCTCTACAAAAAAAAATACAAAAAATTAGCTAGGTATGGTGGTGTGTACCTGTAGTCCTAGTTACTTAGGAGGCTGAGATAGGAGGATAGCTTGAGTCCAAGAGGCAGAGGTTGCAGTGTGATTGTACCACTGTACTCCAACGTGGATGACAGAGTGAGACTCCAGCTAAAAAAAAAAAAAGGAAGGAAGATATGAACACATTAGCACACTCAGCACCCCCGCTACATGATGCCCTGCAGCACCTCAGAACTCTGTAGAGAATCTCCACCAGCAAGAAGGGCCTGACCAGATGCAGCTCCTAGACCTTGGACTTCTCAGCCTCCCAAACTGTAAGAAATAAATTCCTTTTCCTTATTAAAACAACAATAACAAACATTGGTTGTCTCCCTGGTGGTCTAGTGGTTAGAAAAAAAAAAAAAGAAAAGAAAACATTGGTTCTCTAAAACAAGGGTGAGGAGTGATAGAAGCCTGAGGGATGGCGTGTGCACCTTCACGAGTCTGTGCTCACATGCACGATGGGTGGGACTAAAGCTGTGTCCCCACTAGATTTTCCTGTTTTTTTTTTTTTTTTGTTTTTTTTGAGACGGAGTCATGCTCTGTCGCCCAGGCTGGAGTGCAGTGGCCGGATCTCAGCTCACTGCAAGCTCCGCCTCCCGGGTTCACGCCATTCTCCTGCCTCAGCCTCCCAAGTAGCTGGGACCACAGGCGCCCGCTACTTCGCCCGGCTAGTTTTTTGTATTTTTTAGTAGAGACGGGGTTTCACCGTGTTAGCCAGGATGGTCTCGATCTCCTGACCTCGTGATCCGCCCGTCTCGGCCTCCCAAAGTGCTGGGACTACAGGATTTTCCTGTTTTTTGTTTGTTTTGTGTGTGTGTGTCTGTGCGCGCGCGTGTGTGTGGATCTGGGGAAGGGGATCAGTAGGATGCTGGTATGACTATGCAATTCTTGCCAAGGGAGGAGTACGTTGATATAACAACTGTCATTTTCTTTTCCTTCTCCATATCACTTCAGTTTTATTTTCTTTTTGTACCTGACACAGTGGGCCTAGGACCAGGGTTGCAACTACAACCTTTTCAGACAGGGTCTCGCTCTGTCACCCAGGCTTGAGTGCAGTATTGCAATCTTGGCTCACTGTAGCCTCAATCTCCCAGGCTTAAGTGATCCTCCCACCTCAGCCTCCTGAGTAACTTCACCACCATACCCGTCTAATTTTTGTGTTTTCTTGTAGAGATGGGGTTTTGCCATGATGCCCAAGCTGATCTTCAAGCAATGCACCCACCTCAGCCTCCGAAAATTCTAGGATTGCAGGTGTGAGCCACCACACCCAGCCAGGTATAAGTTCTAAGCAAGAAACTGTAACTATGTTTTAAGATTTTATGTCATAATTCCTAAGGGCCTAATGGGAGTAGGTTGTGCCCTCTCTGCCATGCTCCCCCTCCCCTAGCAAAATTTGAGTTTAACAGTTGTCAACCTGAGGTAATCAAAAGGGTCAGAATCCTGTTTGAAAGATTTATTCAAGTGAAAAGTTGGGAATAACAATTCCAGAACACACACTCCAGAGAAGTGGGGTCAGTGCTCTGAAGTTAAAAGCTAAGCTCTTGTTTTTATAAGAATACAAAGAAATTTAACAGAATTACAACATTTTCTATACAAGGCTGGTTTACAAGTTACAACAAATTAGCTACAGTTTGATTTCTTTTCTGAGTGGCTGGTTTACTTTTATTTATAGCCAGTTTTCATTTTCTTTCCACTTTATTTTTTATTTCTTTATTTTTTTGAGACAGAGTTCTTGTTGCCCAGGTTGGAGTGCAGTGGCATGGTCTCAGCTCATTGCAACCTCCACCTCCTAGGTTCAAGCGATTCTCCTGCCTCAGCCTCTCAAATAGCTAGGATTACAGGTGCCTGCCACCACGCCTGGCTAAAACACAAACAAACACAGGTACCCACCAATCCTGGCTAAAACAAAACAACACAGGTAAAGGGAAAAGCTTAATATGTAAGTACAGAAACAAAGGCTTATAGCTTCCTAGGTTACAGCTGCCTGTCACATGACCCAGACCCATAATTCACATTCCTTTCAGTCTCAAAAGAATTTAAGAGTTCCAATGGCTTAGATTGGGATTATTTTTGTATAGTTAATGCAGCTATATTACCTGGTGATAACAATAGCCTGCTAGTTCTGCACCTTACCCTGTATGAATGGAAGTGGACTGAGGGGGAGGTCCTTTTGGGACTAGTGTTGCTGCCTGTAATCTGGTCCAGCACAGCAGCTGGTCTAGACTGTAATGTCAGCTTCCAAAGGTGAAAATGTTTGGGTATTTATGGAAAGAAGAAACAATAGGAACTGAGGGTAAATAAATGAATAAATGGATTAAGATTTGAGGGAGATCCAGTATCACATTAATACCTTGAAAGAGACTCAGAGCAAGAGGTAAGACTGTCTCTTAGCTCAGTTATACTAGATGCATGAAAGGGGGAAGCTATATGTTTGCTGAGACCACTCCTGCTTTTGGGACTTAACGAAATTAGTGGAAACCTGCAAACCTCAGTGACTTCACACTAGGCCTTGCTTAGGAGACATATTCATACAACAGGATGGCAAACTGGATTATTATTATTTTTTGTTTTCGAGACAGGGTCTTACACTGTCACCCAGGCTGGAGCACAGTGGTGGCGCTCACTGCAACTTCAAACTCCCAGTCTCAAGCAATCCTCCCACTTCAGCCTCCCAGGTAGCTAGGACTATAGGCACGCACCACCACAGCAGGCTAATTTTTTTCTTTTTTCTTGTTTCTTTTTTTTTTTTTTTTTTGAGATGGCGCCTCGCTCTGTCACCAGGCTGGAGTGCAGTGGCATGATCTCGGCTCACTGCAACCTCCACCTCCTGGGTTCAAGTGATTCCACTACCTCAGCCTCCCAAGTAGCTGGGATTACAGGTGCCCACCACTATGCCTGGCTAATTTTTGTATTTTTAGTAGAGATGGGGTTTCACCATGTTGGCCAAGATGGTCTCAATCTCTTGACCTCATGATCCACCTGCCTCAGCCTCCCAAAGTGCTGGGATTACAGGCGTGAGCCACTGCGCCTCGCCTACACCTGGCTAATTTTTAAATTTTTAGTAAATGTGAAGTCTTGTTCTGTTGCCCAGGCTGGTCTTGAACTCCTGGTCTCAAGTGATCCTCCCACACTGGTGTCCCAAAGTGCTGGGATTATAGGCATGAGCCACTGCACCTGGCTGGACTATTAATGACTGAATGGGATTCTAAGGATGTGCCAGTGTCTTTTGGGTTGACATATTCTTAATAGGTAACAGGCAGTGTAAGATGAGCTACAAGGGTGGTTTCCTTCTACAGCCTCTAGAAATACTTTCAACACTTCACAATCTGTGTTGCTTCCTACTAGGCTACCCTTGAAAACAATTCTCAGGGAAAGAGGAAAAGAGATGAAAAATATATAGTTCCTGCCTTCAAGAAGCTCTTGTCTAATGCAGTGGGTGAGAGCTGAGATGAACGGCTCATACAAGGTGATAAGTTATGGTGGAGGTATGATCAGAGTACTGTGAGAAAACAGAAGAGGTTCTATTAATTGCAAATAGGTAGGAGGAGATGACCAGTATGCAGGAATGATTACGCAAGAGGTTATCATTGAATAGGATTTGAAAAAGCTGTCAGGATTTCCCCAGGAGAGTAGGGGAAGTGATTTTCCTGGAATTTAATACTGCATGAGCAAATACACAGGCTCCATGAGAAGTCAAAGACTTACATTCAAGAGTATGGGCCCCAAATTTGTAAACTTTAAATACTGATGTACTGACAAACAGCAAACCTGCAAGCTGTGCTTACCTGTCCCACTGTCCCATACACTTCCATCACTTCCTTTCTTACTGGATAGAGACACAATACAAGATTAACTGCAAGAAAACTAAGCATCTCCAGGTTTAGTAAGAAGTGCAATAATAGATCTAAATCTGGGGACAAACTTGTCATGCACAAGTCAGATTCTGAGCTAGGTCTGTCTTCTACATGTAATTTAGAGTCATGCATGAAATGAGTCTCAGGGCTGAGAAAAAGTAAGGATGGACAGAAAGGGGACCTGTTGCCTAAAGACCAGGAGGGTTGGGTATACTAAATATATCTGGTGCCATTCCCCAAATACATTTTGAAAATGGATTCTTCCATGAAATCCAGAATTCTGGAAGGCAGTGGTTTGGGTGTTAGGTGGACACTCATCTCTAAAAAAAGACGTCCTGGACGGGAAAGGCCTTGGAATATGTACAAGAAGTTGACTCTCCTGAAGGCAGAGAAAGGCTGTTCAAGGCTTTTAAACAAGGAGTAGCAAGGTTTGTGTTTTAGAAAAACACTTGTGGCAGCTGGGTACAGTGACTCATGTCTGTAATCCCAGCACTTTGGGAGGCCGAGGCAGGCGGATCACAAGGTCAGGAGATCAAGACCAACCTGGACAACAAGGTGAAACCCCATCTCCACTACAAATACAAAAATTAGTTGGGTGTGGTGGCGCACGCCTGTAATTGCAGCTATTCGGGAGGCTGAGGCAGGAGAATCACTTGAACCTGGGAGGCAGAGGTTGCAGTGAGCTGAGATCGCACCATTGCACTCCAGCTTGGGTGACAGAGCAAGACTCTGTCTCAAAAAACAAACAAACAAACGAAAACAGAACTGTCTCTGGTCAAAGCAAAGCTGCAACAGTTTTTGCATGACTCTTGTTGACCGAAGAAGAAACTGAGGCAAAATTAAGTAGAGGGTTTATTTGGGTCAAGGTTGAGAGCTAGAGCCCAGGAGTCCTAGAACTGTTGCCCTTCAAGTGGGTTTTTAAAGAAGTAAAAAGAACTTAGGAGGAAATTTCTAAGTTTACCAAGAATTTACATTGGTTCATTACAATAACATAAGCTACTGACTGGCTGTGCCTCGTCCTTGTATCACAAATCCCAGAATAATGGGTGAGGGTCACATTGTGCAACTTGTAGTAACATTTCAGGTAGTTTATCAGTTATCTGGAAACTACAGGGAAAGAAAGAAGAAACAAAATACCTGTAAACAATTGCCCAGGGGATGGGTGCTGGGAATGTGACTGCAGTCTCATGCTCATGTCTCTCTGGGGCTGATAAGTTCGGCATCCCTCACATTCCTCAGGCTGCTCTGAGCAGCTGTGCTTTTGCACTCTAATTGATGGAAATGTATAGAGCATGTGAAAAATCTGTGAGTTGATTAACATACTCAAAAAAGACAGAGCCAAAGTGCAGATTAAACCAAAACAGACCAAATCAAAACAAAACAAATGCATTAAAACCTTATTTGGCACCACTGGAGATGACAATGACATTAACTCTTTTTAATATAAAAAATTAAGGGCAGGTCAGCTGTAAACTGGAGTAAGGGGATCCAATAGAAGACATCCTGTAACCTAACTTTATAAATAAAAAATAGGGCAGGGGCTGTGCCAGTATGATTAGAGGCTGGGCATGGTGGCTCATGCCTGTAATCCCAGCACTTTGGGAGGCTGAAGCAGGTGGATCATGAGGTCATGAGTTTGAGACCAGCCTGGCCAACATAGTGAAAACCCGTCTCAACTAAAAATACAAAAATTAGCTGGGCATGGTGGCACATGCCTGTAGTCCCAGCTACTCAGTAAACTGAGGCAGGAGAATCGCCTGAACCCAGGAGATGGAGGTTGCAGTGAGCCAAGATCACACCACTGCACTCCAGCCTAGGCAACAGAGTGAGACTCCATCTCAAAAATAAAAAATAAAAAAAATTAGTAAACTTAGTAATTAAGGGAAACATAGTAAGCATTTTTCTTACTTTTTCTTTTTTTGAATTTTTAATTCAAAAAATTAGCCGGGCGTGGTAGCACATGCCTGTAATCCCAGCTACTTGGGAGGCTGAGGCAGGAGAATCACTTGAACCTAGGAGGTAGAGGTTGCGATGAGCCAGGATCACGCCAGGCACTCAAGCCTGGGCAACAACAGTGAAACTCGGTCTCAAAAAAAAAAAAATCTCTTAAATTCTTAAATTTCTTGTGTATTTTCATCTTGTTTAGTGCAATGTTACAAACCTTGAACAACAAAATTGGACCCATACAAAGTGCCGCTAGTGATGCTGAAAGTGCTCCTAAGAAGCAGAGGAAAGTCATGACATTACAATAAAAAGCTAAATTGCTTGATATGTACCATAGATTGAGGTCTGCAACTGTGGTTGCAACCATTTCAAGATAAATGAATCCAGCATAAGTGTCAAGCCTCTGAGCCGAAGCTAAGCCATTGTATCCCGTGACCTGCATGTATACATCCAGATGGCCTGAAGCAACTGAAGATCCACAAAAGAAGTGAAAATAGCCTTAACTGATGACACTCCACCATTGTGATTTGTTTCTTCCCTACCCTAACTGATCAATGTACTTCGTAATCTCCCCCACCCATAAGAAGGTTCTTTGTTATTCTCCCCACCCTTGAGAATGCACTTTGTGAGATCCACCCCCTGCCCGCAAAACATTGCTCCTAACTCCACCACCTATCCCAAAACCTATAAGAAATAATAACCCCACCACCCTTTGCTGACTCTCTTTTTGGACTCAGCCCGTCTGCATCCAGGTGAAATAAACAGCCTTGCTGCTCACACAAAGCCTGTTTGGTGATCTCTTCACACAGATGAGTGAGACATTTGGTGCTGAATAACCAGGTCAGAGGGACTCCTTCGGGAGAACAGTCCCCTGTCCTCACCCTCACTCCATGAAGAGATCCACCTATGACCTCAGGTCCTCAGACCAACCAACCCAAGGAACATCTCACCAATTTCAAATTGGGTAAGCGATCTTTTCACTCTCTTCTCCAGCCTCTCTCGCTACCCTTCAATCTCTCTGTCCTTCCAATTCCAGTTCTTTTTCCTCTCTACTAGAGACAAAGGAGACACATTTTATTCGTGGACCCAAAACTCCGGCGCCGGTCACGGACTCGGGAAGACAGCCTTCCCTTGGTGTTTAGTCACTGCAGGGATGCCTGCCTGATTATTCACCACACTCCATTGGTGTCTAATCACTGTAGGGACACCTTCCTTGGTCATTCACCTACACACCCTTGGTGGGAAGTCAACTCGGGAACGCCTGCTTTGGCTGCTCACCCACACTGCAGCCCAAGGCTGCTCCCCACCCTCTTCTCCATGTCTCTATCCTTCCCTCTAAACTTGCCTCCTTCACCATGGGCAACCTTCTGCCCTCCATTCCTCCTCCTCCTCCCTTGCCTGTGTTCTCAAGAACTTAAAACCTCTTCAACTCTCCCTTGACCTAAAATCTAAGCATCTTATATTCTTCTGCAATACCAATTGGCCCCAATACAAACTCAACAGTAGTTCCAAGTGGCCAGAGAATGGAACTTTCGATTTGTCTGTCCTACAAGATCTAGATAATTTTTGTCGAAAAATGGGCAAATGGTCAGAGGTGCCTGATGTCCAGGCATTCTTTTACACAGTGGTCCCTCCCTAGTCTCTGCTCCCAATGCGACTTGTTCCAAATCTTTCTTCTTTCTCTCCTGTCTGTTCCTTCAGTCTCCACCCCAAGCTCTGAGTCCTTTGAATCCTTTTCTAGGGACTCATCTGACCTCTCCCCTTCTCCCCAGGCTGCTCCTTGCCAGGCAGATCCAGGTCCCAACTCTTCCTCAGACTCCACTCACCCACCCTATAATCCTTTTTTCACCCCGTCTCACACCCGGTCTGGCTTACAGTTTCATTCTGCAACTACCCTCCCCTACCTGCCCAACAATTTCCTCTTAAAGAGGCGGCTGGAGCTGAAGCTATAGCCAAGGTTAATGCTCCTTTTTCTTTATCCGACCTCTCCCAAATCAGTTAGCGTTTAGGCTCTTTTTCATCAAATATAAAAACTCAAGCCAGTTCATGGCCCATTTGGCCACAACCCTTAGACGTTTACCACCCTAGACCCAGAAAGGCCAGAAGACTGCCTTATTTTCAATATGCATTTTATTACCCAATCCGCTCCCACCATTAAATAAAGCTCCAAAAATTAGATTCCGGTCCTCAAACCCCACAACAGGACTTAATTAACCTCGCCTTCAAGGCGTACAGTCAAGTAGCAACGTATTTCTGAATTGCAATTCCTTGCCTCCACTGTGAGACAAACCCCAGCCACATCTCCAGCACACAAGAACTTCCAAATGCCTGAACCACAGTGGCCAGGCATTCCTCCAGGATTGCCTACCCCAGGATCTTGATTCAAGTGCCAGAAATCTGGCCACTGGGCCAAGGAATGCCCGCAGCCTGGGATCCCTCCTAAGCCATGTCCCATCTGTGCGGGACCCCACTGGAAATCAGACTATCCAACCCAGCAACCACTCCCAGAGCCCCTGGAACTCTGGCCCAAGGCTCTCTGACTCCTTCCCAGATCTTCTTGGCTTAGTGGCTGAAGACTGACTCTTCTCCAATTGCCTCAGAAGCCTACAGGACCATCACAGATGCTTTGGGTAACTCTTACAGTGAAGGGTAAGTCCATCCCCTTCTTAATACGGAGGCTACCCACTCCACATTACCTTCTTTACAAGGGCTCGTTTCCCTTGCCTCCATGACTGTTGTGGATATTGACGGCCAGGCTTCTAAACCTCTTAAAACTCCCCAACTCTGGTGCCAACTTGGACAACATTCTTTTAAGCACTCCTTTTAAGCACTCCTGCCCAGCTCCTTTATTAGGTTGAGACATTTTAACTAAATTATCTGCTTCCCTGATTATTCCTGGGCTACAGCCATACTTTATTGCTGCCCTTTTCCTCAATTCAAAGCCTCTTTCACATCCTCCGCTTGTATCTCCCCAACTTAATCCACAAGTATAGGATACCTCTACTCCCTCCTTGGAGACCGATCGTGCATCCCTTACCATCCCATTAAAACCTAATCACCCTTACCCCGCTCAATGCCAATATGCCATCCCACAGTTTTAAACACTTTAAAAGGATAACGCTTTAAAAGGATTAAAGCCTGTTATCACTCACCTGGTACAGCATGGCCTTTTAAAGCCTACAAACTCTCCTTACAATTACCCCATTTTACCTGTCCAAAAACTGGATGAGTCTTACAGGTTAGTTCAGGATCTGCACCTTATCAACCAGAAAAGTACCTACATGGAAGAGGTTATGTAATATTATTTTACTTCTCCACCCCGTGGTGCCAAACCCATATACTCTCCTATCCTCAATATCTCCCTCCACAACCCATTATTCTTTAGAAGCTTTTAAGCTACTCCCACACTAGCTCTGCCTAACTCATCCCAACATTTTTCATTACACACAGCGAAAGTGCAGGGCTGTGTGGTTAGAATTCTTACCCAAAAGCTGGGACCTCGCCATACAGGACCTTTCTGTCCAAACAACTTGACCTTACTCTTTTAGTTTAGCCCTCATGTCTGTGCGTCGCGGCTGCCGCTGCTTTAATACTTTTAGAGGCCCTCAAAATCACAAACTATGCTCAACTCACTCTCTACAGTTCTCATAACTTCCAGAATCTATTTCCTTCCTCATACCTGATGCATATACTTTCTGCCCTCCGGCTCCTTTGGCTACACTCACTCTTTGTTGAGTCTCCCACAATTACCATTGTTCCTGGCCTGAACTTCAATCCGGCCTCCCACATTATTTTGGATACCACACCTGACCCCCATGACTATATCTCTCTGATACACCTGACATTCACTCCATTTCCCCATAGTTCCTTCTTTCCTGTTTCTCACCTTGATCACATTTTGTTTACTGATGGCAGTTCCACCAGGCCTAATCACCACTCACCAACAAAGGCAGGCTATGCTATAGTATCTTCCACATGTATCACTGAGGCTACTGCCCTGTCCCCCTCCACTACCTCTCAGCAAGCTGAACTCATTGCCTTAACTCAGGCCCTCACTCTTGCAAAGGAATTACATGTCAATATTTATACTGACTCTAAATATGCCTTCCATATCCTGCACTACCATGCTGTTATATGGGCAGAAAGAGGTTTCCTCACTACATAAGGGTCCTCCATCATCGATGCCTCCTTAATAAAAACTCTTCTCAAGACCGCTTTACTTCCAAAGGAAGCTGGAGTCATACACTGCAAGGGCCGCCAAAAGGCATCAGATCCCATCACTCAGGGCAAGGCTTATGCTGATAAGGTAGCTAAAGCAGCAGCTAGCATTCCAATTTCTGTCCCTCATGGCCAGTTTTTCTCCTTCTCATCGATCACTCCCACCTACTCTCCCACTAAAACTTCCACCTATCAATCTCTTCCCACACAAGGCAAATGGTTCTTGGACCACGGAAAATATCTCCTTCCAGCCTCACAGGTTCATTCTATTCTATCGTCATTTCATAACCTCTTCCATGTAGGTACTTTTCTGCTAGCATCACCTACCTATCACAAACTTTATCAGTTCTTCACGCCCAAGTGGACTCTCTAGCTGCAGTTGTCCTCCAAAACCGCTGAGGCCTTGACGTACTCACTGCTGAAAAAGGAGGACTCTCTATATTTTTAAATGAAGAGTGTTGTGTTTACCTTAATAAATCTGGCCTGGTATATGACAACATAAAAAAACTCAAGGATAGAGCCCAAAAACTTGCCAACCAAGCAAGTAATTATGCTGAACCCCCTTGGGCACTCTCTAATTGGATTTCCTGGGTCCTCCCAATTCTTAGTCCTTTAATACTTGTTTTTCTCCTTCTCTTATTCAGACCTTGTGTCTTCCGTTTAGTTTCTCAATTCATCCAAAACCTTGTCCAGGCCATCACCAGTCATTCTATATGATGAATGCTCCTTCTAACAACCCCGCAATATCACCCCTTACCACAAAATCTTCCTTCAACTTAATGTCTCCCACTCTAGGTTCCCATGCCACTCCTAATCCCCCTCGAAGCAGCCCTGAGAAACATTGCCTATTATCTCTCTGAGCCACCCCCAAAAATTTTCACTGCCCCAACACTTAAATACTATTTTATTTTATTTTTCTTATTAATATAAGGCGGCCGGAATGTCAGGCCTCTGAGCCCAAGCTAAGTCATGTATCCTGTGACCTGCACGTATACATCCAGATGGCCTGAAGCAACTGAAGATCCACAAAAGAAGTGAAAATAGCCTTAACTGATGACACTCCACCATTGTGATTTGTTTCGTCCCCACCCTAACTGATCAATGTACTTCGTAATCTCCCCCACCCTTAAGAAGATTCTTTGTAATCTCCCCTACCCTTAAGAAGGTTATTTGTAATTCTCCCCACCTTTGAGAATGTACTTTGTGAGATCCACCCCCTGCCCACAAAACATTACTCCTAACTCCACCGCCTATCCCAAAACCTGTAAGAACTAATGATAATCCCACCACCCTTTGCTGACTCTCTTTTTGGACTCAGCCCACCTGCAAGGTGAAATAAAAAGCCTTGTTGCTCACACAAAGCCTGTTTGGTGGTCTCTTCACACAGATGCATGAGACAATAAGGACCATTGTAAAAAAGGAAAAATTCATCAAGCCATTGCCACAGCTAAGCCAGCAGGTGCAAAAAACCTTGCACTTTTTTGAAATACCTTTTTGTTTCATATTGAAAATGCAGCTTTTGGTCAGGTGCGGTGGCTCAAGCCTGTAATCCCAGCACTTTGGGAGGCCGAGATGGGCGGATCATGAGGTCAGGAGATTGAGGCCATCCTGGCTAACAGGATGAAACCCCGTCTCTACTAAAAAATACAAAAAACTAGCCGGGTGAGGTGGCGGGCGCCTGTAGTCTCAGCTACTCGGGAGGCTGAGGCAGGAGAATGGCATAAACCCGGGAGGCAGAGCTTGCAGTGAGCTGAGATCCGGCCACTGCACTGCAGCCTGGGCAACAGAGTGAGACTCCATCTCAAAAAAAAAAAATGCAGCTTTTATGTGTGTGGAAGGTTGCTATAAGGCAGGCATAGTTATGGATTTTAATATGATTTGAGAAAAAGCAAGGTCATTATAAAACAACTTTAAAGTAAAAGAAAGGTAAAAGATCTAAAGCTGGAGAATTTAATGCCAGCAAAGGATGGTTTGATAATTTTGGCTTAAAAATGTCAAGATAACAGGAGAAGCAGATTCTGCTAACCAAGAAGCAGCAGACAAGTTCTCAGATACCTTTAAGAAAATTATTGAGGAGAAAGGATATCTGCTTCAACAGGTTTTTTGTTTTTGAGACAAGATCTCTTTCTATTACCCAGGCTGGTGTGCAATGGTGTGATCATAGCTTACTGAAACGTCAAATTCCTGGGCTCAAGCAGTCCTCCCACCGCAGCTTTCTGAGTAGCAGGACCACACATGCACACCACCATGCCCAACTAAATTTTTTTTTTTTTGGTAGCGACAGGGTCTTGCTCTGTAGCCCAGGCTGATCTTGAACTCTTGGCTCAAACAATCCTTCCTCCTCAGCTTCCCAAAGTGCTGGAACTGCAGGTATGAGCCATTCTGCCCAGTCCTGAACAGACTTTTTTTTTTTTTTTTTTTTTCATGAGAAAGACTCTTACTCTGTCACCCAGGCTGGAGTGCAGGGGCATGATCCAGGCTCAATGCAACCTCTGCCTCCTTGATTCACACAATTCTCATGCTTCAGCCTCCTGAGTAGTGGACTACCGGCATGTGCCACCACATCCAGTTAATTTTTGTATTATGTGAGGACAGAGTTTTTGTATTTTGTAGAGATGAAGTTTCACCATGTTGGCCAGGCTGGTCTTGAACTCCTGGCCTTGAGTGAGCCGCCTGCCTTGGCCTCCCAAAGTCCTGGGATTACAGGCGTGAGTCACCAAAACTGGTCTTTGTTTTGTTTTTTTGAGACAAGGTCAGTCTCTCTCACCCAGGCTGGAGTTCATAGGAGTTATGACAGAGCCAATCAGGGAAATCATGACGAAGATCATGGATGCAGCACAAAAAGTAATTGAAGGGTGAAGGGTTTCAAGACATGGATCTTAAAGAAATGTAAGAGCTAATAGACACCACACCAGAGGAATGAACAGACAACAACTTGATGGAGGTGAGTACTTCTAAGCCAGCTGCAGACAACATAGACCCTTCTATGATACAGACACTAAAACTAAAGCAAATGGTGGAAGGAGTGGATTGGTACCATATAGAAATATTTTTATAGAAATTAAAAAACAAAAGTCAGACAGAAATTACTGTGCATTTCTGTAAGTTGCACAAAGTGTGTCTTCTCCCTTGCCTCTCCTTCTATGTCATCCACCTCTTCCTCCTCTGCCACCCTGAGACAGCAAGACAATCCCTCTCCTCTTCCTCCACCTCAATGTGCACACACTAAGGATGAAGACCTTTATGATAACTCACTTTCACTTAATGAATGGTAAATATATTTTCTCTTCCTTATGAATTTCTTATCAACATTTTCTCTAGCTTACTTCATTGTAAGAATACAGTATTTAGCACATATATAAAATATGTGTTAATCAACTGTTTATGTAATCAGTCAGGCTTCCAGTCAACAGTAGGCTGTTAATAGTTAAATTTGGGGAGGAATCAAAAGTTATATATGGCTTTTTTTTTTTTTATTACTGCATTGGGGGTTGGTGCTGCTAACACCCACGTTGCTCAAGGGTCATGTATACAGATTATTTTCTTCATCAGGTATTTTTGTATTTTGTTCAGCAACATACTTCTTCTGTAATGAAACACAAAATGTACTTTGTTATTTTTAAGATTCCCTAATTTTACTTTTAGTATCTATACACTTGCTGGCTCTGTGGCCCAGGCTGCCATGCAGTGGTGCCATCTCAGCTCACTGCAACCTTCACCTCCTGGGTTCAAGTGATTCTCCTGCCTCAGCCTTCCAAGGAGCTGGGACTACAGGTGTATGCCACCACGCCTGGCTAATTTTTGTATTTTCAGTAGAGACAGGGTTTCGCCATGTTGGCCAGGCTGGTCTCAAACTCCTGACTTCAGGTAATCCACCTTCCAAAGTGCTGTGATTACAGGGGTGAGCCACTGCACCTGGCCTCCAAATATTTTTTGTATTTTTTAAAGTATTACATGTAAGTAGTTAAAAAATTCATACAGCACTAAAGTGCTTCCATCACCAACAGGTATTTCCTTTTTCCCCGCTGCCTTCCCCATCTCATCCCATTCCCCAGAGCAAGCCATTCTCAACTCAACTGATTTTTCTTCAAATACTTATATTCACATTTCTAAATAAAGTACATATAACCTCTTGAGTCATCTATTTTTAACAATATGAATAACTTCATATTATGGTAAGTAAAGATGTTGCTCACTTCTAATTATTTTTTCCTCTCCCAAGTCAACCGTTTATAATTTTGACCCTCATTTCATTTTTTCCCTATTGTGACTGTGACTATGTAAATATTGTTCCCTGTGAGTTAGGGATATATTAAGATTATATTTTCTTTCTCATATAATTCACTACCTAATCTGGAGTTAATCTGCTACATTTTTTGTGAATATTTAAGTTTTTCTGTAATTTCCAATAGTTCAATGCCATACTTTAAATATATTCCCCCCATGATTAAACATGTCAGAAAATTTATCCATTCTTTTTTTTTGAAAGGTATACCTCAAATCGAGAGTGTACTCTAGATATGCTGCACAGCCACCATCTTAAGATTTCCCTTTCTCAAGTATACTTTCAGAAAAGATAAAAAAGGCGAGTTGCAGTGGCTCATGCCTGTAATCCCAGCACTTTGGGAGGCCAAGGCAGGCAAATCACCTGAGGTCAGGAGTTTGAGACCAGCCTGGCCAACATGGCAAAACCCTGTCTCTAGTAAAAATACAAAACTTAGCTGGGCGTGGTGGTGGGCACCTGTAATCCCATCTACTCAGGCGGCTGAGGCAGGAGAATCGCTTGAACCCTGGAGGCAGAAGTTGCAGTGAGCCGGGATCATACCACTGCACTCCAGCAACAGACTGAGATTCTGTCTTAAAAAAACCTTCCATGTGCCTTTTCTGCATGGAATCTTTTATTTCTTACAGCCTATATCTTTTTCATTGTTTGTCTTTCGGAGCACCTTTCAGCATTTTCTTTAAAACACTTTCATGACAGATATCTGTTTTCCCTGATCTATTTTGAAAATGTTTTTATCTATCTTAACACTTCACTGATAGTCTGGAGGGTATATAGAATTCTAGGTTGAAAATAATTTTCACTCAAAATTTTTCAAGCATTCTATTATCTTCAAGCTTCCATTAGTATTGTTGAAAAGACTGAGGACATTCTAATTCCCATTTCTTTGTAACTGACTTGTTTATTCTCTCCAGAGATTTTCTTATTCCACATTGCTTGGGGTAATTGTCTAGATGAACAATTTTGAATAAAGCAGGATGTGTGCTGTTCCTATCTTCTCTAGCCAATTTTTCTTGGCCTCCAGCCCAGGGACTCATGCCAAAGGTCTGAGGAAAGCTGTTATCCTAAAATCTCTGTACAACAATAGAGTGCAGGGAACACCCATTAGCCTCTGTAACACTGGACGGCATACGTTGAAACAAGCCAATGTTCTCCCTGTTACAGTCATCTATTGCTGTGTAACAAGCCACCCAGAACTTAGTGGCATAAGGAAACATCTTTTTATTATGCTCATGACTTTGCAGATCAGTAATGCAAGCAGATCAAGTGGGAATAGCTGACCTCTGTTCCATATGACTGGGAATGCAGGTGGCTCAAGTGACCAGGAAGAGCTAGGGTGGGGTCATATGTCTAGGGCTCCAGTTTTTCGTTGTTGTTTTGTTTTTGAGACTGAGTCTCGCTCTGTCACCCAGGCTGAAGTGCAGTGGTGTGGTCTCTGTTCACTGCAACCGCCGCCTCCCAGATTCAAGTGATTCTCCTGCCTCAGCCTCCCGAGAAGCTGGGACTACAGGTGCAGGCCGCCACATCTGGCTAATTTTTTGTAGAGATGGGGTTTCGCCATGTTGGCAAAGCTGGTCTCAAACTCATGACCTCTGGTGATCTGCCAACCTTGGCCTTCCAAAGTGCTAGGATTACAGGCATAAGCCAGCATCCCCAGCCAAGGGCTCCAGTTTTGACTGTCAACTGGTTTCTCAATTCTTCTCCATGCAGTGTCGGCTAAAGCTGAACTGTTGGGAGAGAAGCTGAGGCAGGGCTTGCATGTCTGCCAGACTTGCTGGCTCCTTGCTTCTAGCACTCCCATTATCTCAAATAGCCATATGTTCTCATTCACTTGATACACTGTTTCCTTTCAACTCCCACATCCTCACCACCTGTTTCTTTGAGCACCAATAAATAGCGTGGGCTCCCAGAGCTCTAAGCCTTTGCAGCCTCCACACTCACGATGGCCCCCTGGTCCCACTTTCTCTCTCAAACTGTCTTTTTCTCATTCCTTTGACTCTGCCGGACTTTGTTGCCCCCCACGACCTGGTGTTGGGTCTGATCACCCCAACATTCCTGGCTGCCCAACGTGGGACAACAAAGGCCTTGGTGAAGGAATGCTAGAGCATGTGAAAGCAGAGGACACATCATCAAAGGACACCCAAGGATGTCTAAAAGCAGCTCAGCAGGAAAGCTGAGCACTCGGAAGAACCAGGGTAACAATGGGACAAAGTGAAAGCAGACATTCTGCTTATTTACATTTCTTAAGGCATTTATTATGAAGATGGGGAGTGAAAGTTAGTACTCAGAATTTGTTATCACTCTTTAGTACAGTACAGCAGTTTTGCCCATGATTTCTGGAACAAGGGACTATGGAGTTGGATGAATGCGAGAGAATTGGCAGAGATTTTAAAAAGACGTATAAAGATGGACCAAAAATTCCAGTTTCCATTTGGTCAATGTAGGCGCTAATAAAGACAACTCTTGAGCCATTTCAAACAGATGATGAGGCAGATTCAGATGAGGAAGAGGAAGATGAATGTAAAAAACTTAACTTCAGATTGAGTGTGAGGAACAACTACCAGAGGAGATTAAAGAAAAGAAAGGAAAACTTAAAAAAATATGTTTTACTAGCCCATTGGCTCCAGCTGCTGAATTAAGTGAATGGCCACCTCCTCCCTCCCTCCTTAATGGGTGAGAAAATAAATTAGCTGAAAAACTTACTGTTTCTATAGTTGCAACATTAAAACCTGGAGCAATTGGTGGTGCTATACAAAATTCTATTCAAAAAGCTAGAGCCAAGGGAGACCTTAAAACATGGCAATTTCCCATTACTATAATCCAGCAGGGAGGACAGAGTATAGCTAATTGGACCTCTTTTCTTTTTAAGTTACTAAAAGAATTTAAGCAAGCCATTAGTCAATATGGACTGAACTCTCCTTTTGTGCAAATGTTATTAAAAAAAATATGGCTCTTGATAATAGATTAATACCATATGATTGGGATATTTTGACAAAATCTGTTCTCACTCGATCTCAGTACTTGCAGTTTAAAACCTGGTGGGCTGATGAAGCTCAAACTCAGGCAAAGGAAAATGCAAGCACAGCCACCTGTGCCTGTTTCCTTTGAACAGTTAATGGGCTTTGGCCCTAACTGTGGTTGATTAGAGAATCAAGCAGTAATGGAGGATGTTGCCATTGTTCAGCTGCACTTTGTGTGTTTACAGGCATGGGAAAGGATAAATGTTACAGGGGAAAAATATTCTTCTTTCAGTTCTGTCTGACAAGGACCTAAAGAACCATATATTGATGTTATTGCTCTGCTCCAAGAGGCTTGGTATAAAGCCATAACTGGTAAAACGGCTCAGGATGTTGTAATATAGCTTCTTGCATACAATAATGCTAATGCAGAGTGTCAAACTGCTCATAGGCCCGAGAGGGAAGGCTCATTTCGCTGAATGTATTAAGGCTTGTGATGTCATTGGCAGTAACTTACATAAGGCTACTCTTTTAGCTCAGGCTATGGCTGGATTAAGAGTAGGAAAGAATATGCCCCATTTCTCAGGCTCTTGCTTTAATTGTGGGCAATTTGGACACACAAGAAAGGAATGTAGAAAAGGAAATCAAAAGGCAAAAACTACTACCATCAATCAACAGAAAAGTCCCAGTGTATGTCCCTGGTGTAAGAAAGGCAATCACTGAGCAAGTCAGTGTCATTCTAAATTTAGCCAAGATGGACAACCTCTTTAGGGAAACAGGAAGAGGGGCCCACCTTGGGCCCCTCAACAAACCGAGACATACCCGGCACAGCCAGTGCCCTTACAAATGTACAATTGTCCCCCACCTCAGCAGGCAGTGCTGCTGTAGACCTCTACAGTACAATTCCCATCTCCTTACTTCCTGGGGAGCCACCAAAGAAGGTCCCCACAGGAGTTAGGGGACCTTTACCCTCAAGAACAGTTGGTTTATTACTTGGAAGGTCTAGTCTGTTACTGTACATTTGGGAATAATTGACTCTGATTATACCAGAGAAATTCAATTAGTTATTAGTTCCTCAACTCCGTGGTCTGCCTCCCCGGGAGAAAGAATTGCTCAGTTGTTGCTGTTACTGTACATAAAACTAGGAAGCAGCACAGTGAAAAGAACAGGAGACTTTGGTAACACTAATCCAGCAGAAAGGCTGTGTATTGGGTTAATCAAGTGTCTGACAAAAAACTTATTTGCACAGTAACTATTCAGGGAAAAGATTTTGAAAGACTAGTAGATACTGGAGCTGATGTCTCTATTATTGCTATAAATCAATGGCCCCGGCACTGGCCTAAGCAAAAGGCATCCATTGGTATTGTTGGAGTAGCAGCTGCGTCGGAAGTTTTTCAGAGTTATTTGATTTTACCATGTCAAGGGCCAGATGGTAAGGAAGAGACAATTCAGTCTATCATTACACCTATTCCTGACAATTTATCAAGTAGAGACTTATTGCAACAATGGGATGCTGAAATATCTATTCCTATGGATCAATATAGTAATAATAGACAAATGATGAAAAATATGGGATATCACCCGGGAAAAGGACTAGGAAAAGATAAAAATGGTCAATCAGAACCTTTAGAATTAAAAGAGCAAACAGATCGGACCAGATTGGGGTGTCATTTTTAGGACTGGCCATTGTTGAGCCTCTGGCTCCCATTCCTCTTGTTTGGCTAACTGCCAAACTGGTTTGGGTGGAGCAATGGCCACTGAAACAGGTAAAACTGGAGGCTTTAAAAGAACTGGTGCAGGAACAATTGCAAAAGGGACATATAGAGCCTCCTTTCTCCCCTTGGAATTCTCCTGTATTTGTCATTAAGAAAAAATTAGGGAAATGGAGAATGTTAACAGATTTAAGGGCTATTAATGTTGTGATTCAACCCATGGGCACTCTACAACCAGGACTGCCCTCCCCAACAATGGTCCCAAAATACTGGCGTCTCATAGTGATAGATCTAAAGGATTGCTTTTTTACCATTCCTTTAGCTGCCCAAGATTATGAAAAATTTGCTTTTACTGTTCCCACCATAAATAATAAAGAACCAACAGACAGATACCATTGGAAGGTACTACCACAAGGCATGCTAAATAGCCCAACTGTTTGTCAAACTTATGTTGGGAAAACTATTAAGCCAGTTAAAGAACAGTTCAAAAAATGTCATATTATCCATTACATGGATGATATTCTGTGTGCAGCTGAAACTAGGGAAGAATTGATGGTGTGCTACAAACAGTTAGAAAAGGCTGTAAATGTGGCATGGTTAATTATAGCCCCCAATAAAATCCAAACTTCTACTACCTTTCAATATCCAGAAATGAAGGTACAGCAAAGTGCTCTTAAGCCTCAAAATGTTCAAATTCAAAGAAATAATTTAGAAACCTTAAATGATTTCCAAAAATTATTAGGAGACATTAATTGGATTCGTCCAACTTTAGGCATTCCTACCTATGCTATGTCTCACCTCTTTTCTACTTTACAAGGTGATTCTGACCTTAACAGTAAACGCTCCCTGCCCAAAGAAGCATTGGAGGAACTTCAACTAATTGAGGAGAAAATTCAGCAAGCACAAGTAGAATGGATTAATCCAATAGAGCCATTATAGTTTTTAGTTTTTCCTACTAAGATTTGCCTACAGGAGTTATAGTTTAACAGGATGATCTGGTTGAGTGGCTTTTTCTACCTCACAATACAACCAAAATGCTCACTCTGTACTTAGATCAAATTGCTGTGTTAGTAGGACAAGCAAGGCTGTGCACAACAAAGTTAATGGGAGATGATCCAAATCAGATTATAGTTCCATTACAAAACAACAAATTCAACAAGCCTATATTAATTCCCAAGAATGGCAAGTTAATTTGGCCAGTTTTGTTGGCATTCTTGATAATCATTATCCTAAGTCTAAAATCAAGCCATGCAAAATATTGAATGTGCCTTAATTCAAAATGTGACTGACGAACAATTTAATCTTACTTCATTCTTTACAGCAAGCAGTACAACAAAGGCATTCACCTTTCTATATCACTCAAATGAGAGCAGATACTAACCTCCCTGGCACTTTAACTAAACTTAATCAAAAGATGGACTCTTTGGTGTCTGCAGTTTTTGCTGATGCACAAACATTTCATTATTTATTTTTTATTTTATTTTATTTTTGAGACAGAGTCTTGCTGTGTCACCCAGGCTGGAGTGCAGTGGCACAATCTTGGCTCACTGCAAGCTCCACCTCCTGGGTTCATGCCATTCTCCTGCCTCAGCCTCTTGAGTAGCCAGGACTACAGGCACCCGCCACCACACGTGGCTAATTTTTGTGTGCTTTTTTTTTTTTTTTTTTTTTGAGACAGAGACTTGCTCTGTCGCCCGGGCTGGAGTGCAGTGGCCGGATCTTAGCTCACTGCAAGCTCCGCCTCCCGGGTTTACGCTGCCTCAGGCTCCCGAGTAGCTGAGACTACAGGTGCCCACCTAGTTTTTTGTATTTTTTTAGTAGAGACGGGGTTTCACTGTGTTAGCCAGGATGGTCTTGATCTCCTGACCTCATGATCCGCCCGTCTTGGCCTCCCAAAGTGCTGGGATTACAGGCTTGAGCCACCACACCCAGCCTCATGTGTGTTTTTAGTAGAGATGGGATTTCATCATGTTAGCCAGGATGGTCTCAATCTCCTGACCTCGCGATCCGCCCACCTCAGCCTCCCAAAGTGCTGGGATTACAGGCATGAGCCACCACACCTGGCCACATTTCATTCTTTAACCCATCTTAATGCCACAGGCCTTAGAAAAAGCTATGGTCTATCATGGAAACAAGCTAAAGAAATTGTGCAACACTGTTCTGCCTGTCAAGTCCTGCATCTACCACATTAAGGAACAGGAGTTAACCCTAGATGTTTATCTCCAAATTCCATCTGGCAGATGGATGTAACACATATTCCTGGTTTTGGAAAATTGTCCTTCGTTCATGTTTCAGTAGATACCTATTCACATTTTATCTGGGCCACATGTCAAACAGGGGAAGCTACAGCTCATGTTAAAAAACACTTTTTATCTTGTTTTTCAGTTATGGGAATCCCGGGAAAAATCAAAACTGATAACAGCCCAGGATATTGTAGTAAAGCCATGGCTACATTTTTTCAACAATGGAGTATTACCCACACTATAGGTATTCCATATAACTCACAAGGACAAGCAGTAGTGGAAAGAGATAATCATACTTTAAAAACTCAAATACAAAAGCAAAAAGGAGGGAACCAGGAATATAAGACACCACATATACTATTGCATTTAGCTTTATTAACATTAAATTTTTTTAATTTACAAAAAGATCAACCCATGACTGCAGCTGAACAACACCTGACAGGACAAAAGGAAAATAAAAAGACTGGACAAGATATATGGTGGAGGGATGCACATACAAAGAGCTGAGAAAAAGGTAAGATAATTTTTTGGGGAAGAGAATTTGCTTGTCTCTCTCCAGGTGACAATCAGGTGCCCGTGTGGGTGACCACCAAACATCTGAAGATATATCATGAGCCACAGCATCTAGTAGACCCACCTGTAGTGCAAATGGAAGGTTTAAGGATTGCTTTTAAGCCTCGATTTGCTTTCTCTGTGCCTTCTGTTAGAAGGGGCCTGCTTCTCGTTATCAACAGTAAGTTTTGCCCCGTGGTAATTAACCAAAGAGGCAGAAGCTGAGTTACAAATGCTTCAGCAATGGCATGCCTCCCAGCTATAGCCACAAAAGTTTTTGCTTGTGTTTCAGTAGATTTACTAACGTAGGGGTGAGGGTATGCTTGTGTTTTGCAGGAGATAAACAGATCGTGTAGGTGCCCTCAAGATGTGTATGACCATGGAGCAGGAGACTGGACGGGCCCATGGATCCCAACCATGGACCAGGTTCCCCCAGTAGAAGCCATGCTGAGAAACTGCTGGAGCACCAGGGTTTACCTATAGATGCTTAGCAGACCAATGCTTTCTGACAGAACACCTCTCTACCCTGAACACAAGAGACCCCAATAGGTAGGCAGGAGTATGATCGCCCCTTTTCAGCATGAAGTTATAGAAGATGGACCTTCATCCTTCTGCAACTCCTAAGATTAAGGGTCCTCTTGTAAAAGGGAAAGGGGAGATATGTAGGAATCATTCAAACCAGAGTGACTCCATTTTGAATAAGGGCTAAGAAAAATTGAAGCTGGATCACCAAATGGCAATTAAGGGCTTCACAGCCTGCAATTGCCTTGCTCAATTAATTTGAAAAAGAGAGCACCTTATGCTAGTAATAATGATAGCTGTAATAATGATAGCTGTGGTGGTTTTTACAAAAAAAAGAAGGGTTGCATGTTGGGAGAAAAGCCAAGTGTTGGGAGAGAAGCTGAGGCAGGGCTTGCATGTCTGCTAGACTTGCTGGCTCCTTGCTTCTAGCACTCACATCTCAAGTAGCCATATGTTTCTCATTCACTTGGTACACTGTTCCCTTTCAACCCCCACATCCTCACCACCTGTTTCTTTGAGCACCAATAAATAGCGTGGGCTCCCAGAGCTCAGAGCCTTTGCCGCCTCCACACTCGCGATGGCCCCCTGGTCCTACTTTCTCTCTCAAACTGTCTTTTTCTCATTCCTTTGACTCCGCTGGTCTTTGTTGCCCCCACAACCTTGTGTTGGGTCTGATCTCCCCAACACTGAATGACCAGGATGTCTCCTTCACTCATGTCTGGTCAGCATGCTGGTGTGGATAGAACAGTAAGGGCATGGAAAGAACACTCTCCTTGCAGCCTCTTACATGACTTGGCTTGGGCTTCCTCACAACATGGTGGTCACAGGTAAGATGGACTTCTGCAGTAGCTGGCTTACCCCAAAGCAAGCATTTCAAGATGCCCACTTGAAAGGTGCAAACTTATGACCTAGACTAATAAGTCCTAGAATTTGTGCCACATTTTATTGGTCAAGTAAGCCACTAGAGCCAGCCAGATTCAAGGAGTGGGGGACTTAGACTCTACCTCTCAATGAGAGGAGAAGCAAAGAAATTATGACCATCTTTAATTGACGATGCTCCCATTCAGCACTGTGAGCATATTGAAATGTAGAACATAACTTCTACCTGAGCAATGAGTCAGAAGAGAGTATGTTTTGACTTGAGAAGCATCAGCAGGGAATGTCACAGCAGCAGCCAGAGCAAGGAGACAACAAATGGAGACTACCATATTAGAACTGAGACGATGTGCCTCTTAGGATATGCTGGAGGAAACAGAAACTGGGAGGACTGCATTCCCGGATACACACTGGGCATACCCTGGAGAACTCCTGAACAGTGGGAGAGAATTTGGAAATCATCAGCAAATAAGAAGAGACTTATTGTAATGTGATGTCACTTCACACAGACACACACACGCGCGCGCGCACACAGAGGTATGGCCAAAGGAATCACCTATTGTAACTAACACTTTTAAGCCCAGGCAACATGGTGAAACTTTGTCTCTACAAAAAATACAAAACTTAGCCAGGCATGATGGTGTGTGCCTGTAATACCAGCTACTCGAGAGACTGAAGTGGGAGGATTATTTGAGCCCAGGAGGTTGAGGTTGTAGTGAGCCAAGATTATGGCACTGCACTCCAGGTTGGGCAACAGAGAGAGATCTGGTCTCAATAATGTGTGTGTGTGTGTGTGTTGTGTGTATATATATAAAGACTTCTGCAGTGACTACATAGCTTTCCCACAGAATGATGTTCCCATCATGAACCATTTCGTCCCTCCATGAGGAACATATCATCAAAAATTGATGGGTCCCACACTTTGCAGTCAATGGATATTAAATAGAGCAGTGAAATAAAAGATGTATATTTTAACATCATTCATGGGTTGGAGGAAGAATATGTCAATAGCTGTTGCTAATGCAATAAATAGCTCCAAATATAGCAACTGCAGCCATGTATCTCAATACCATAATAGAGTGAGCCAAAGGAAAAAATCAGAAAACAATAAATATACACAGACCACAAGCACACAAGGCCAATAAGAATTCATTACCACCACTACTACAAAATAAATCTTTAAATGTCTTCCTCACTGGATAGAAATTGTTCTTTTCTTCATCAACATCCTGTCCCATGAGAACCATCCATTGCCTGCTACCATGTCCCTTCCGCCCTTTCTCCTCAGAGAAAACTACCTTAGATGAACTACATTCTTCCACGATTGTCTCATCTTCCTCTCTCAATTTCATCCCCAAAGAACATTTCAGAAGCTGCTGATGCCCCGCGGACTGTTCTATTCTGATACCTGTTCAACCATGTTGAAACCCCCAAGCCGCATATGACAGTGAACTATAAAATATGACATCATATTTTTCCAGATTATAATATTTTTTCAGAAATATAGCAGGGGGAGGGGAGCTTCTAAATGAAAAGAACTCAACCTCCTGAGACAAACATTTCTGCCTTCAGGGAGCTAGATTTTTAGAACGTTAATTCACTCACTTCTAAAGCTTTGTGTGTGTGTGTGTGTGACAGGGTCTTGTTCTGCCACCCAGACTGGAGTGCAGTGGCGTGATCAAAGTTCACTGCAGTCTCAGCCCCCTGGGCTTAAGCAATCTTTTCACCTCAGACCCCCCAAGTAGCTGGAACTTGAGGTGCACGCCACCATGGCCAGCTAATTATGTTTATTTTTTGTAGAGACAGAATCTTTCTACATTGCCCAGGCCGGTTTCAAATTCCTGGGCTCAAGTAATCCTAACACCTTAGCCTCCCAAAGTGCTGGGAGGCCAGGCATGAGCCACCATGCCTGGCACTTTTTTTTTTTTTTTTTTGAGATGGGGTTTCACTCTTGTTGCCCAGGCTGGAGTGCAATGGCACGATCTCAGCTCACCGCAAACCTCTGCCTCCTAGGTTCAGCCTGGCCCATTTCTAAAACTTTTATTCTTTTATTTGCCAACTGCATAGAGAAAAAAAAATGTTAGAAGAAAGCAAGAACCAGACATGTTTACCTCTCTTAATTGAGGGAAAACTTTAAAAATTTTTCCTTGCTTAATCAACAAGACCTAATTTCTCTCCATTCTTATTTGGTTTGTTTGTAAAGGATATGGTACGTCTTGTTAAATAAATTACTTCTTGCCAAGCTGTGCACTGATTATTAAGACATTTTTACTTCATTTTTAAGTGTTCCAAACTCTGATGACTAATGTGTCTGGAGATCTCAATCCTTACATGAGCAATGATGTTAATAAGTCTCTATTTTTTTTTTTTTTTTTTTTTTTGAGACAGAGCCTTGCTCTGTTGCCCAGGTGGAAGTGCAATGGTGTGATCTTGGCTCACTGCAGCCTCTACCTCCCAGGCTCAAATGAATCCCCTTCTTCAGCCTCCCAAGTAGCTGGGATTACAGGCACCCACCACCACGCCCGGCTAATTTTTGTATTTTTAGTAGAAATGAAGCTTCACCATGTTGGCCAGGCTGTTCTTGATTCTTAATTGTAGAAGAAATACTGCCTGTCCAAGGGCCATTCTTCTAGGGACATATGTACTAAATTGTATTCTGAAGAACACTGTTAAGTGTGACTTGAAAAACAAGTTTCTGAAACACTAAATAAAGCAGAGTTAAGTATATTTACATCAAGACTTCTCAAAACTTTGATATGGGATATTAAAGAAGATCCATGAATCTTCAAATGGGGAGTGTTTCATACAACTTTCCAAAATGTGTTGACTTTCATTACAAGCAGCATAAATTGTTATGTACTTAATATTGTTCTGAATACATGTTGAGAAATGCTAAGTAGGAAAAAGCTGAATCCACCCGGTGTGGTGGCTCATGCCTATAATCCCAGCACTTTGGGAAGCTGAGGTGGGCGGATCACCTGAGGTCAGGAGTTTTGAGACCAGCCTGGCCAACATGGTGAAACCCCCTCTCTACTAAAAATAAAAAAATTAGCTGGACGTGGTGGTGCACTCCTGTAGTCCCAGCTACTCAGGAGGCTGAGGCAAGAGAATCACTTGAACCAGGAGGCAGAGGTTGCCGTGAGCCGAGACTGTGCCACTGCACTCCAGTCTGGGCAACAGAGTGAGATTCTATTTCAAAAACAAACAAGAAATAGCTGAATCCATCAAAATGGAAAAATCTCTAGCCAAACGTATCCATAAACATAACCCACCAGAGCTTACTAATGCTTCAAGTGATTCCTTTAGAATAAATGTACAGAAAACTTCATATTTTCTAACTAGAGAATTAGTGTGTAGATTACCTGAAGGCTATTCTTTTCCTACTCTCATAATTTAAATGAATACCTGAGGTCTTTACACACACACAAAAATGACCACATGAGCTTCATCCTTACTCTAAATTTAAGCCACAAAACAGACTGAGATGGCAAAAGTGGCTCTCTAAATTTACAAATAACTTTTTGGTCCCTAAAGAACTTCAGATGCTTTGCTTCAGCAAACTCTGACAAGAATTTTTCCCTATACCTCCTACTAGCAGAGTATTGCCAGGCCACTCCTGACTATTTCATGTTAAGGCAAATAAAATGTCAATCTTCCAGCTCTAGTTTTAGTAAGAAATATCCAGAAGCAATGAATGAAGAGGGTGAGGAAGATCAGTCTTGGTGGCTCACGCCTGTAATCACAGCACTTTGGGAGGCCAATGTGGGTGGAATGCTTGAGCTCAGGAATTCAAGACCAGCCTGGGCAACATGGTGAACCTCCATCTCCATTTAAAAAAAAGAAAAAGGAGGAAGGAGGGAGGAGGAAAAAGAGAGGGAGGAAAAAAGCTTGGAAGCATGGAAGATTGTTTGCAAAATGCCAACATTTCCAAAATGTTTTGCAAAATAGCCCTAATGAGTCCTCAGATACATGATTTCACTTTACTTATTTATTATTTATTTATTTATTTATTTATTTTTGAGAGGGAGTCTCGCTCTGTCTCCCAGGCTGGAGTGCAGTGGCGCAATCTCAGCTCACTGCAACCTCCGCCTCCCAGGTTCAAGCAATTATGCCTCAGCCTCTTGAGTAGCTGGGATTACAGTTGTGTGCCACCACATGCAGTTGATTTTTTATTTTATTTTATTTTATTTTTAGTAGACACAGGGTTTCACCATGTTGGCCAGGCTGGCCTCCAGTTCCTGACCTCAGGTGATCTGCCCACTTCGGCCTCCCAAAGCGCTGGGTTTACAGGCGTGAGCCACTGCGCCTGGCCCCTGCCTTCACTTTTGTGTGCAGCCAACCCTAGACCATGGCCCCAGCTGAGCTGCCAGCTGACCTTAGAGATCTGCCAGGCCAGTCCAGACCAGAAAACCTCCCAGCCAAACCCACAGAGTCCTGAGAAATAACAAATATTCCTTATTTTAAGCCACTAAGTTTTTGGATGATTTGTTATGCAGCAAAAGCTAATGGATACAAAAAATCTAAACAGATTAGGAAAACAGCACTGGGCGTGGTGGCTGGCGCCTGTAATCCCAGCACTTTGGGAGGTTGAGGTGGGTGGATCACCTGAGATCAGGAGTTCAAGACCAGCCTGGCCAACATGGCAAAACCCTGTTTCTACTATAAGTACAGAATTAGCCGGGTGTGGTAGCACATGCCTGTAATCCCAGCTACTCAGGAGGCTGAGACAGGAGAATCACTTGAACCTGGGAAACGGAGGTTGCAGTGAGCTGAGATCATGCCATTGCACTCCAGCCTGGGCAACAAGAGTGAAACTCCTTCTCAACAGAAAAAAAAAAAAAAAAAAAAAGATTAGGAAAACAGTATGTCAAATGAAAAACAGCAAAAGCAACTCAACAGTAATTCATTTTTAAAATTTTTACGTAGGCAAAGGACATAAATAAGCTATTGACAAAAGAAGAACTTAACTGAGTTTCTTAAAAGAAAAAAAAATAAAAACGTATAATATAGGAAAGAGATACAAAGTAGTATATTCAATATAACCTCAATTATCTAAAAAGAAAATTGTCTATATTTTCTGAGAAATAAATGACTGGAAAAATACAGAGCCAAGTGTTGATGACAGTTATATTTGTAGATGGAATTGAGTATTGTAGTAGAAACTTATTTCAGGAACTTTACTCATTCTGTGAAGGCCTCAAAATTTTTACCTTCAATATTCAACAGTGACTCTGCCCCTGAGAAATACTCTCAGAAATACTGTACAGAGACTGTTTATGCATATGGATAGTTATGTGTAAAAATTAGAGTAGAAAACCGTGTCAGTGAAAATACAGAGATTATATATGGTACAAATTCAACTCTGTGACAGACAACACTAAAACGATTAGAGAAAAACACACTTGCCAAAAAATGTAAGCCTGAGTCTAGGACTGAAAATGTGCCAAAAGAGAACATGAGTACAGTGCCAAGTGAAAACCCTCTGTCAAGTGTACCCTCTCTGTCCAGAGAATTGCACAGATGGATTGGAGATGGGGAAAGACAGGGCCTCCATCGATGTGAGCATCCAATAGCTGCAATGGATAGTCTAGGCTTTCATTCATTGCAGTACACATAAATCACACTAAAGGAAATTAAAAAAAACAAAACAAAACCCTCAAGCATCCCACATTATGATTCTGATCAAATGGAACTGCTTCACTGATTGATTTTCCTGAGGATTCCATAAGAACGCTCTTCCAATGCCAGGAGCAGCGGCTCAGGCTTGTAATCCCAGCACTTAGGGAGGCTGTGGCAGGTGGATCACCTGAGGTCAAGAATTCAAGACCAGCCTGGCCAACATGGCGAAACCCCATCTTGACTAAAAATACAAAAATTAGCTGGGCACAGTGGCTCACACCTGTAATCCAAGCTACTCGGGAGGCGGAGGCAGGAGAATGACTTGACCCTGAGGGGTGGAGGTTGCAGTGAGCTGAGATCGTGCCACTGCACTCCAACCTGGACGACACTCTTCCAGCTATACTCATCTGCTATGAAACCATCCCCAAGGAAATTTTATAAAACTGATTAAGGGAAAAAGGATAAAATTCAACTAGGCTTGCAGCACAATCAGCAGTAATCATTCAGCCAGCTTGCCCTTTGGCCCACTTCCTTGTAGCTTGTCGCTGCTTACTACCCCAGGATAACGTAGCCCTTGTCACAAGACTCTGTTCCGTTTCTGTTCTATAGATAAAATCTAAGGCATTATGAAATAAGCTTTCCATTTGAATTTCTCTTTTAGGTTCTGCTAGCTGAAGAAACTACTGACGCCAGCTGTTCTGAAGGACCCAGCAAGGAAGAGACTCATGGAAGATTAGTTTCTACCTAATGATCTCATCCTCCTTATCCTGACCAATCAATGATCCCAGTTTTCCAGCCCCTCGTCATCCATGATCCACTTAAAAACCTTTCCCCAGAACTCCTTGGAGAGGTGGATTTGAGACTTGAAGATTCCATTTTTCTCCTCACTCAGTGGCCTTGGGATTATTAAACTCCTTCTCTATTGCAAACCCCACTGTCTCAGTGTATTGGTCTATCGCTATACACAGGCAAACAAATCTGCCAATCCTATAAGACTTAGAAATCTCCAAAAGTCTCTTAGACTCAGATTTGGGATTTTACCTGGGTAGAGGTGGATCTCTCTCTTATTGATATTCTCTGAATAATTGAAAGTGGGAGAGGGTATGAATTTAAAAATCTTTGAAAACAGCCCTACCTTTGTATGATTGTGTTTCTCTAAATAGACTTATGGGGTGAATATTGTTGTTATCAAGAAATTGAGATTTTTAGAGTTTTCAAAATTCAAACTTGACACTACTAATTTCATCGTCTCCCTTTTATGTTATTTTTTAATTTTTTAATTTTTATTTTTTTGAAAGAGTCTCACTCTGTTGCCCAAGCTGGAGTACACTGGCACGATCTTGGTTTACTGTGACCTCTGCCTCCCAGGTTCAAGTGATTCTTCTGCCTCAGCCTCCCAAGTAGCTGGGGTTATGGGTGTACACAACACCCAGTGAATTTTTCTATTTTTAGTAGAGATGGGGTTTCACCAAGATGGCCAGGCTGGTCTCAAACTCCTGGCCTCAAGTGATCACCTGCCTCTGACTCCCAAAGTGCTAAGATTACAGGTGTGAGCCACTGCACCCGGCCATCTTCTCTTTGTTAATTTAATCTCTATGTAATTATTTTCAAAAAGAAAAATTAATGTTCTTAATTTTCATATCTTATTAACAATTTATTTTTTAATGGCATTTTTGTAATGGCAAATACAAAAATCTCAAGTGACTGGTGTCCCTGGGCTTCCTTTGTTGTTGTTGTTGTTGCTGCTGCTGCTGCTGTTGTTTGTTTTGTTTTATTCACTGCAAAGAGTCATATGAAGTCCCTGGGCTTAAATGCTAGATCTAATAATGAAGATAATTTGGCAGTCATAGTGGTCCAGAGCATGAATGCAGTAAGATAGGTCTCAAAGGCACAGATTTCTATCGGTGTATATAGATAGCCTATTTCTCTATTTCTCCCAGCTTTTTTTTTTTTTTTGAGATGGAGTCCACCCAGGCTGGAGTGTAGTGGCTCGATCTCGGCTCACTGCAACCTCTGCCTCCTGGGTTCAAGTGATTCTCCTGCCTCAGCCTCCCAAGTAGCTGAGACTACAGGTATGCGCCACCATGCCCGGCTAATTTTTGTATTTTTTAGTAGAGACGGGGTTTCACAATATTGGCCAGGCTGGTCTCGAACTCCTAACCTCAGGTAATCCACCCACCTTGGCCTCCCAAAGTGCTGGGATTACAGGCATGAGCCACCACACCCAGCCTATTTCTCCCAGCTTTATAGGCCCTGGACAAATGCCTAAAATTTTGTAAACTCGCACAAATAAGGGAGCGAGCCTAATAGTCCAACAGAAAATGGAGGGGCAAAGAAGTGTTTCTATTTATGGCTATAAAAGACTATATATAATATATTAAAGCTGAATGCTGGCCAAGTAGATGATTGGACAAATTGCATTCCCCAAAGATGGTCACAGCATTATCTCCCACCCTTTGTACTCATCTACAATGTAGAATGTGGCCTTCACACTCTTCCTGTGATGAAATGGGGTCTACTTTCCTCCCCTTTACTCCAGGCTGACTTGTGACTCACTGCCTTTCAAGGCTAGATCAGACAAGGCATTGCAGCTTCCGCCCTGCTCACTAGAATACTCACTGTTGAAATCTGCAACTGCCAGATAAGTAGTGCAACTACCCTGAGGCCCCAGACTAGCCCAATCCGGTTGCATGGTGAGACCTGGAGAGGCCAGACAGTCAAAGAGTTGAGGGCCAGCCCCAGCTGCTCTAGCCCCATGCTGTTGCAGCCCCAGCCACTCTCTGACAGCAACCTCAGAAAGGACCCCAAGCCAGACCCACCCAGGCAAGCCCTCTTGCAGCAAAGCCCTGCTCCTCACCCACGCGAACCATGTGTGTCCTAAAGGAAAAGTACTGAAGGGCCTTAAGGGACATGATCAGGCCATCTCTGTCCACCCACCGGTGTTTATCAAAGTCAGGCTCCTGCGCTTCCACAGAGACTGGGAGACTGGGACCTTTTCCTTCTTTATGAGATTTCGAAGGGATGGCTCCCAGGTCCTTGAAAAAGGTATTCCACAGTTGAAGAAAATAGACACCTCAAAAAGACAGAGAAATGATTTACAATTCCAAGATTTCAAAGGCAAATGCTCCAAGACAAAGCAAGTCAGGCATCTATCATCAGGTTTTGGCTGCAACAAATAGTACATTATTTTGGCAACCTTATGTTTTTACAGGCAGAAATGTACAGGGGACTGGGTCATCCCAGGGGCATGGCCTTTGGCCCTAGAAGCCCTACTGGAGATTAGTTAAGTCTCTTAGTGTGGAGGTTGAACTGAGTGTTTCTTCCTATGGAGACTTTTTCACAGCTCTATTTTGTTTTGTTTTATTTTATTTTATTTTATTTTATTTTATTTTATTTTATGAGGCAGCATCTCACTCTGTCACTCATGTTGGATTGCAGTGGCATGACCATGGCTCACCGTAGCCTCCATCTAGGCTCAGCCTCCCAAGTAGCTAGGACTACAGGTATGCACTACTATGCCTGGCAAATTTTTATTTTTTATTTGATTTTTAGTAGAGATGGGGTCTTGCTATGTTTCCCAGGAACTCCTGAGCTCAAGCAATCCTCCCACCTCGGTCTCCCAAAGTGCTAAGATTATAGGTGTGAGCCAGTTTTTGCAGTCCTCAATTGTTACACACAAAAAATAACCAAGAACATATTTTGTTACCTAAAAATGCAGTGCTGCTGTATCCAACACCTAAAACAGGTAGCATTAGCTTTTTATTTTTTCTCTGAGACAGGGTCACCCGGGCTGGAGTACAGTGGCAAGATCATAGCTCACTGCAACCTCCACCTCCCAGGTGCAATGATGCTCCCACCCCAGCCTCCCAAGTAGTTGGGACTACAGGCACTTGCCACCATGCCCAGCTAATTTTTTGTATTTTTTGTAGAGATGGGTATCTCACTATATTGCCCAGGTTGTCTTGAACTTCTGAGCGCAAGTGATCCACCCACCTCAGTCTCCCAAAGTGCTGGGATCACAGGCCTAAGCCACCACACCTAGTCAGCATTATTATTATTATTTTTTAACAGGGCTTTGCTCTGTCATTCAGGCTGGTGTACAGTGGTATGATCATGGCTTACTGCAACCTCAAACTCCTGGGCCAAAGTGATCCTCCCACCTTGGCTTCTCAAGTAGCTGGGACTACAGGGTGCACCACCACACCCAGCTAACTTTTTTAAGAATGGGGGTCTCGGCCGGGCGCGGTGGCTCAAGCCTGTAATCCCAGCACTTTGGGAGGCCGAGACGGGTGGATCACGAGGTCAGGAGATCGAGACCATCCTGGATAACACGGTGAAACCCCGTCTCTACTAAGAAATACAAAAAACTAGCCGGGCGAGGTGGCGGGCGCCTGTAGTCCCAGCTACTCGGGAGGCTGAGGCCGGAGAATGGCGTGAACCCGGGAGGCGGAGCTTGCAGTGAGCTGAGATCCGGCCACTGCACTGCAGCCTGGGCTACAGAGCGAGACTCCGTCTCAACAAAAAAAAAAAAAAAAAAAAAAAAAGAATGGGGGTCTCTCTATGTTGCCCAGGCTAGCCTTAGCCTTAACACTAGGCATCAAGAGGATGCTAGAAGGACCTTGAGGAGGTGGTTAAGGAACACTGAAAGAGCCTAGAAGAGCCTGTTGGAGAGGGCTGATAGCATAAAGGGAGGAAAAAGTTATTAAAGATGAAGGCAGTCTGGGTGCAATGGGTCACGCCTGTAATCCCAGTGCTGCAGGAGGCCGAGGCAGGTGGATCACCTGAGATCAGGAGTTTGAGAGCAGCCTGGCCAACATGGCAAAACCTCATCTCTACTAAAAATACAAAAAGTAGCCGGGCGTGGTGGTGCATGCCTATAATCCCAGCTACACGGGAGGCTGAGACAGGAGAATCGCTTGAACTTGGAAGGTGGAGGTTGCAGTGAGCCAAGATAGTGCCACTGCGCTCCAGCCTGGGCAACAGAGTGATACTTTGTCTCAAAAAAAAAAAAAAAAAAAGTAGAAAGAAAATGAAAGACAAAGGCAGCCAGGGGCAGTGGCTGTAATCCCAGCACTTTGGGAGGCTGAGGCGAACGGACCACTTGAGGTCAGGAGTTTCCACACCAGCCTGGCCAATATGGTGAAACCCCTCTCTGAAAAATACAAAAATAAGCCGGGCATGGTGACCCATGCCTGTAGTCGTAGCTACCAGGGAGGCTGAGGTGGGAGAATTGCTTGAACCTGGGAGCCAGAAGAGGTTGCAGTGAGCCGAGATCGTGCCACTACACTCCAGCCTGAGAGACAGAGTGAGAAAGAAAAGGAGAGAAAGAAAAGAAAAGAAGAGAAAGAAAAGAAAGAGAGAGAGAGAAAGGCAGACAGGAAGGCAGGCAGGAAGGTAGGAAAGCAGGAACGCAGGAAGGCAGGAAGGAAGGAAGGAAGGGAGGCAGGCAGGGAGGCAGGCAGGGAGGCAGGGAGGCAGGGAGGGAGGGAGGCAGGGAGGGAGGGAGGGAAGGAAAGGAAAGGAAGGAAAGGAAAGGAAAGGAAGGAGAGGAAGGAAGGAAAGGAAGAAAGGAAGGAAAGACGGAAGGAAGGGAAGAAGGAAGGAAGGGAAGAAGGAAGGAAGGGAAGAAGGAAGGAAGGGAAGAAGGAAGGAAGGGAAGAAGGAAAGAAGAAGAAAGAAGGAAAGAAAGAAAGATGAAGGCAAGAAGACCCTTATGATGCAGTAGTAGCAGCAAGTTCAGCATGCTCTTGCCTACAACAACATGGAAAATACAGCACATACCTAATCTACTCAATGATCCAGCTTAGGAGATTTCCAGGCAGAATATTGCAAACACTGCATGCCTTCTGTCGGCTGCCTATAAGATACAGATAAAAAGAGGTGAGCTTTAAAGGGCATTTGTCAGATTTTAAAGAAACAGAGGAAATAT